TCCTTGCAAAATTTATTTTAATATAAAAATTTATAAATAGTTGCAACTAACTAAAAATTTTAAAATTAATTACAGCTTCATCTTTAATAATAGCAGATTCAGAAGTCAAAGCTATACCTACTACATTTATCTGATGAATAGGTAAATCTTCAGGAGGAATGTGTAAAATAACCGCAGAATTTAAAATTAGCTAAAATAAAATTATATAATTCAAAATAAATAAAATCAACGTATTAATAAATTAATTAAAATAAATAAATAAAATAAGTATTTCTTTTAAATATAAATATTTCTTACATCAATTTCACCATTTTTTGAACTTTTCGTAAACTTTGAATTTTGCAATAGATATAATAAGACCTTCTTTTCATTTGGGAACATAAGATGGTTTCGATTCTTCAATAGGATAAAAACAGTAATATTAAAAACTTGAGTCATTTTCATCGAGCTTAGTATATCCAATAGCGTTTCTCACAAAATAACCACTTGAAATCTTTCTTTATATTCTGAAATGTATAAGATTGTAGATAATTGAGCTGGCATATTAAATATTTTTTTTGAATTAATAAAATGCGTTGTTAATATTTGAGAGAGGATTTGATTATAATTTTTTTTTAATTTTAAAAAATGAAAAAAATTCAACAAAATGTATTTTACTTTTCTTTTTAAAAGAAAATAATTTTAGATCAATAATCCATTTTAGATTTTATTTGTTTGTTATTTGTTTATGAAAAATCTTTTTATTTTTTTCATAAAATTTTATATTGTTTATGATTTGAATATAAGCACGTTATTGTAAAAAAGTAGAAAATTTTATTTTATTTTTTTTTCCAAAAGAAAGAAATATGCAAGACAAATAACAAATAAAGAATGATTTTTTTAAAAATAATACAAACGATGAAAATACAATACATGTAACATATAAAATAACAAAAAAGCATACATATAAAAATATCATGTAAAAAATCTTCAAATAGAAAAAATAATTATAAAGATATCATTACAAATAATTTAAAACAATATAAAATAAATTTTGCATCACAAAAAATAAAGGAAATAATTTAAATTCATTAAATTAAAAAAATAATCAACCGATCAATGAAATTAAAAAATGTTACAAAAGAAAAATACATTTTCAAAAATTGAATAAATTAATAGATGATAAAATTTTAATACATAATAAAAGAATAAATTAAAAAGACAAAAATATCAAATAAAAATATAACCAAAGAAAAAGTTTATAAATCATTAAAAATGTTTAATTTAATATAACATAAACAAATAAAAATATAAACAATAAAAATTCAATACAATATAATATAAAATAACAAAAAAGCATTACACAGCAAATATCGTGTAAAAATTCTTTAAAAAGAAATAAATATAAATTAGTATAATGTATCATTACAAATAAGAGAAATAAAAGAAATAATTTTTTTTCATAATCAAGATCTCAAAATACAATTGTAACAACGTAGAAACATAAACAATCAACAAATAAATTATACAAAAAAAATCAAATGAAACGAAATTTTTTTTTTTTTTTTTTATTAAATCTAAAAAATAATAATATGCAAATAATCTACAAAGATCAACGAAACAAAAATTTCTGCAAAATTTAAACATGGTCAAATTTAATGCATTTCAAAAGTAGCACAGGAAATATTAAATTATGAATTTATTCTAATGATACATAAAAGCTTATAGCAATAGCAATAGCAATAGCAATAGCTGTAGCTGTAGCTGTAGCTGTAGCAACAAATAGCTATATAAACTTCAGATTCAATTTACACGAGGTGCATTACCGAAATCAGCCACAAATACATAGATCGATGAAGATCCATACAACTAACTATACAAATTAAGCAAAAAACTGAATAAATACAGAATAGATCGTTAAATACATATCGCATCAAAATCATATCTTCTCTAACTAATTCTTCAAAGAGTACTGTTCTGTATCTGTATATAAAGTATCCGTAATTGATCGAATCGGGTTTATCAAAGGTTTTAATTTTATGATTTGGTTATTACGTTGAAAAAAAGAATTTGACTGTTGTACTTCCCTTGTATAGTACCCCTTGAAAGTATCAGGTATTATTTAATCACAAAATGTTAATTTTTGAATAAGATCCGGATACCAGGATACCAATCAATTTCAATGAATATTTACATAGCCTTTGAGTAAGTTTTATTAGAAACGAAAGTGTTTTTGAATTTCACCACCAAGCCTTCGAACACCACCCTTACTTCCACCCCCCTCCAGACCGTTTTAAAAAAAAGGAATTTTTTTTTCTCATTTTATTCATTAATACTGTATCTCCACAAAGTATCCCCAGGTACTATTCAAGCTAGTCTATTCTTTCATTGAATAAGACCAGGTACTGTAGTCAGCGCTATACGGTAACGTGTGTAATTCAGTTATAAAATTGATAATATCAAGAAATCTTACCTTTTCGCGGTGTTGGGGCAATATAATATATGTTCCTTTATAAATATTCTCGAAAGTTTCCACGAAAATAATCTTTGCTCTGATATCTTACTTGAATGACAATATACAGTACGTAAAAAATTATTTTATTCAATGATGATATTGTAATATATATATATATTTGATCCGACAAATTATTAAGTACAAAATTTGCAATAAAATTTGTACTTTTGATCGAGGTTTGTCTATTAATTGATCGTGGATAAAGGGTGAGCCTAGTAGCAGGTCTCCGCGCCATTACTAAAGTAACGCCAAAATATCAAACTTTTCGTCTCCCTTTTGAAGTTATTAAAAGTCACTTTCTGTCATTAGGAACTCTAACATCTCATTGCCATTTAGCTTCCAAACAATTAAAAGTACTGAGCTCGTGATATATAGCCATTATATAGCCATTTTATAGTTTATTGTAGAAGAGCAGAAAAACTTTTGTTTATTTCCGATTTCTGGTTTAGTGAAGAGCGGATCTTTTCGATATACAATAAATTTTTTTTATGGTTGTATGGGACCTTTGCAATAGAAAGGGGGGAACTTTCGAGAAAAATCAATTTTACTTTTATATGCCAAATATGATTCAGGCCGAAATATGTTCAAATTTATCATTAACCCATTTTTTTATTTTTTCGGCAGTTTCCCCCTTTTCTATCGTAAAGGTCCCATATATTAAAAAAAATTGGATCGATTTTAAGACAAAATATTCTTAAATAAATCACCAAATTGTCTTCAATCACCACAGGATTAAAGATTGAATTCGTATCACTATTTTGTTTAAACACAGCAGATCGTTCCTGTCATATAGCTATAAATATCACTTTGATCTATACTAGATCGGTCTGTGAACCGGCCCAGTCCAAAAATATACGAAAAACGGTCTTTTTGGACCCTACGCCAAAAGATCTTCACAATATGAATTCCGATTTTTGGATATCCGATCAAACATTTATTATCGAATTTTTTAGCAAATTAGTTGAAAATTATAATTTTTTATTTCTTTTTGTCAAACTTCGTTATTAGATTAAGTTGATCTACAATGTTTTTTTTTGCACCGCAAGTAACGAATTGTTGCTAAAATTTAGAGATTTTTTTTTAAAATAAATAAAGTAATTACTAATCTGTCTTTCAAATGCATAAAATGACAATTTTCCAAAACGTCGATAATTTTGCATTATTTTTGGAATTTAATTAAAATTTAATTCTCGTCGTGTAGCCATAAAAAATTACAAATTTCTAAGGAGTTTAACATGGAAAATAAGTTTATTTGCAATTATTAAGATGATTTTGAACCTTACTATGTAAGTGCTGTACATGGTAAACATTTAATATGTTTAATTATCTCATTGCTTGAATAATTTTAGACTAAACTCTGAAGCAATTGTCATTATTTTATATTATGAAGATGATTTTGTTCAATTGTTTTTGGTTCTTTAAATATATACCGATCTTTAATAATCATTTATTCAAAATTGTTATAAAACCGATCAACTTTATTTCAAAGGAGGACATGACAGACATGACAGTGAAACGAAAATTAAGTGAATTTAAATATCTTAATTATGTATGTTTGTAGGATAAGAACAATTATGTTGTAAACCAAACGCCAGGTGATCATTCTGGTGGATCTTTTGAAATCGACATTATTTCGGACCTCTCTGTCCAGGGATCATTTAAAATGTATATCCGTTATTTAGCCACATTTGCATTGATATATTTAAGGAAAGCCGTAATTAAGACATGGGAAGGAATTTATTATAAAAATGCTTCTTAGTTTGATTTGCAATAGATAATTCTATTCTCTTAAAGGCCTATTACAGAGCGCCGGCATAGGCGGAATAGTTGCATTTATTGTATTTGTTTGATATTTACTTAATAAACCTATTTCTTTTTTAAAAAATAGGAGACAACAATATAAATGCACATTAATTACATGCACGATATATCCATAGTAAAATAGTTATTAATGCAGGCGCATTAAAATTAGAGTTACACCAAGAATATGGATGAAAAAGGAAATGACGACAAATAAAAAATTACGGTAATCTGAATACATAACTGGTCGGCACCGTTTGAAATTCAAACAAATTTCAAATTTCATTTTGGATTTAAATCGATTACCGAAATTATCAATCGTTTATTTATATTAATTTTAGGTGTGATTTTTGGTTTAAATATAAATCTTAAGGAGACACTTTAAACACCGAATTCGGGTTTTTCCAAAAAATGTAGATTATTTTAATGGTTTGATTTTATTAATTTGTAATTTTGTATTTATACATATTTAATTTAGGTAATTTTAGCTTAAAGATAATGGTGTTTTACAATGATTCTACTAATTAAATTATTATTACGTTTAATTAATGATTATAAATAATGCAATGTTTACTATATTAATGCTTTTTCCTCAATGTGAAAGTCTAACTTAAACCATCAAGGGAACAAAGTAAACTCATAGTATGAGCTTTACTAATCAATTCCTTTCCAACATTCTTATCAAGTGAGCTACCGTACTTTCCTTGCTTCCTAATTTCTCCCAAGTCTCTCATAGCGGAAATACAACCTTGGTTAGCAGCCTTCTCTAAAAATTCGATCGCAAGTTGATGGTTTCTGTCATCTTTGTTGGCTTTTAAATTATAATTTGAATTTAAAATTACTTCAGCGTACCAATATTGAGCGTTACGCTGACCATCTTTCGCTGCCTGATATAAATATTTTAAACTTGAATCTGGATCTGGTTTTCCACCACGTCCCTCATGGTGACCTTTGAGGTAATAGTATCCTACACAAAATTTTGCTTCAGACGTCCCAGTTTTTACTTCAATAGCTTTAAATAATTTCCATGCTTTCTTGTATTGTCTTTTATTATGTAATTTCATCGCTTCTTCAATATCTAAACGTTTACGGAATGGATTAAACTTGTCTAAAGCCTTAGACTTTTTCGTAACTTGTGATGCAACATTTAAATCGGCGGTATTATAATTAATAATTGAATAATCTGAATGAATTGAGGAAGCACTATCTTCAAATGAAGCATCATCTTTAAACGCTGTATTTGGCGAAAGAAAGTTATTATCATAATCTCCGATCTTGCCACTATGTAACCCTGTATCTAATTTTTTCAATACATTAATTACTTCTTTAATGGTTGGTCGGCTATTTCGATCCAAATCCCATCCCTTCTTCATTATTTCTTGATATTCGACTGGTACGTTATTGGCAGTTTCGGGTTGTGGATGTTCTCCATTAAGAACCTTGATTCTAATATCTTTAGGATCAACGTTGTGAAACGGTATTTTGTGATTAATGATTTCCCAGAGGACTAAAGAATAGCTATGAAAGAAAAAATAGATGTTAGTGGGTTTATTTAATTTTATTTTCTAAAAAAATTACATTATTTATAAAAATAATATTACCTATATATTTCACTGGCTTTAGTGTATTCTTCCTCTCGAAATTTCTCAGGAGGAGTCCATCTCGAATTCGTTATATCATTATTCGAATTCATTATGATTGGCGAATCTTTTGCAATACGAAAACCACAAAGTTTAGGTTGTAAGAAAATATCCAAATAAATATTATCACTGGAATATAATAAATTCAGGTTGTGAATTTAGGATACGCAATTGAAAGTTGTTAAATTATGCGTCAGAAAAAATTATTGTACCTTGTAATATCATAATGTAAGATGTCCTTTGTGTGAATAAAATTCAAAGCATCGGCAATTCCGCGTGCGATCGATAATTTCTTTGTCCATTCCATAATTGGATTCGATTCAAGATAAGGTTGTAATTTATATTCACCCCACTTCATAATAACGCTCCAATTAGAATTTCGATGAACGAGTCCATGACTTTTCAAAAAGAAGTTAAAGTGTCACGTGAGAAAGGATGTATGGCGCACATTAAATAAAACACAATTATTCTAAATGTACTTACACCTTGAGTATATTTTCACATTCACTAAGTTTTTTCAGGTAATCAATTTCTTCTTGCATTTTTAAAAGTCTTGAATCATTCTTTTCAAATTTTCCAATTAATTTTTCAGCTACCGACGTACTGTACATATAAAGCCCTTTTTTGATCTTGTTACTTCCAGGAACAACCGATGAATTCTCTGTATCAACTAAATATGATGGAATTTCACAGTCCATTTTAGATGATTGCGAAATAGATTTATATAAAATCAACATTCTAGCGGCCGTTTTAAATTTTCTTTTAGTTACTCTACATTTATTAAAGTCAGTTTTCCATTTTTTAACAAATTTTTGTAATTCATTTGTTATGTTATCTAATTCATCATTTAACATTGAAATTTCTTGTCGAACCTAAACAATTAAAAATGAAAAAAAAACAAATTGTTTTTAAGTACTACCTTCCGAAAAATGTTACACGACATAAACAAAAAATAATATCATATACTGTACCTCATCGTTATCAACTTCTATAAAGGCCTTGACGTCCTCAATATTTAATAAATAATTACTATACTTTTGAAAAGCTAAAGATTCTTCAATGGAATCCTTCCAATAAAGATTCGTTGATTGATCGATAGTTTGCTTTATTTCATTAAGCATGTCCTTCCCAACCTTAATAATACCCACAGCCCTATTAAAAAGATCTTTATTACGATTTGCATCTTCAAATAAATCTAATACCGCTTTACAAGTTTCAGTTGTTGACGATAAATCTGTTAATCTTGAAATTGGAAATTTAAGTAATTTGGAATGCTTTGGTGAAAAAGTTGAAGTTTGAAAGTCGGGCTGTGAATGATCATCATCTCCAATTCTAAGCAGTCTATGTCCAAGCCATTCTTTTGTTTCCAAATCACTTAAGAAATCAAGCATTTGTTGAGCGGTTGGACGGTTATTAGGATTAATGTCCCAACCTTTTTCCATTATTTCCTGATATTCAACGGGAGTACCATTGGTTCTCTCTGGTTGCGGATGTTCTCCACCGAGAACCTTATTTTTTATAACTTGAGGAAACATGCCGCTGTTGAATGGAATTTCATGATTAATGATTTCCCAAAGAACCATAGAAAAGCTAATACGAAAAAAAAAATTAATTTTTTTGAGTAAAACTCACAAAAAGTAACATAAATGTATAAGTTTTCAAGCATCACCTATAAATTTCACTGTCTTTAGTATACACTTTATCTCGAATTTTTTCGGGAGGAGTCCATCTAGGATCCGTATCTTCACTAGCTGAAGATAACATAACCGGTGAAATAGATGAATCTTCCGCTAAGCGAAAACCATGAAGCTTAACTTGCAAGCAAGAGGTTAGGTAGATGTTATCGCTAATATATAAAAAATTAACAATAATTTTAATGTATGGGATTTATTTAAAATTCATAATTGCGCGTAAGCATGATATGCACCTTTTAATGTCATAATGTAAGATCTCTTCTTTATGTATAAAGTTCAATGCGTTAGCAATTCCACGTGCGATCGATAGTTTCATTCTCCATTCCAAGCTCGGATTCTTCTTAAGATATTCATGTAGGTTATGATTACCCCATTTCGAAATAACACTATAATTTGAGTTTTGAATTATGAATCCATAACTATTCAAAGGAAATTATAAATTATCTGTTAGAGAGGCGTTACATTATATCAAAGAAAAAAAAGTTTTTTTTTATTTCTACTTACAAAGTAAGAACAAATCTACAATTACAAATTTTATGAAGGTATTTGGCTTCCTTTTCCAAATCAATAAGCCTTTGATCATTTTTTTTGAATTTGCCAATTTCTTTTTCAGCCACAGGGGAATTAAAGAACATCCTTTTTATAACGCGACATTCACTTCCTAAATTTTCAAGTGGATCCGCAGCAGGTTTAATTAAATCCGAATTTATTTCAAAGCTTTTTAATGTTATATTATCCATTTTTACGAAAATTTGTTGTAATGTTATGAAATGGTTTGGGTTTTTTTTTTAAATAATGAAAATGAGAAAATAAAAAAAAAGAGCAAATTTCTTTGGATTTAAATAATTTCAAAAAATATAATGAATTAGAATTTTTCAATCACACCTTTTCTTGACAACGTTGTTCCCAAGAAAGCCTAGTCTGATTTTTGTTTTGCTTTCTTCATGCAAATTACGCAATTTTAGCAATCGAAAAAGTAGTTTATATTGAAATTTTATGTACCTCATGCATTGTATCTAAATTAACGAGGTGTTGTGATCCCAATTTGCAATTTCAGGGAACCTTCTACATCGATTTTTTGGACATATGCAAATCAAAAATATTTAGTACAAGTCATTTGGTTGATTGAAAAACACCAAATGTGGATATACAATTAAGGATAAATCAAGTGCACAAATTAAAATGTGATGGACATTTCCGTAAACAAAAAAATAAAAAAAAAAAGATGTTTTTCTGCTGTACTACATTTACTTATTTGTAAATTCTCAATCGATTGCAGTAGGATAAACATTTAGTCGATTTCAGTATAGATAATCTATAATAATCAATATGGATAAAAGTGGTTACATAAAGTAAAGTAAAATGAAATTATTTCATCAAAGAAAATAAAAATATGAAACGGGTCCCAATTATTGACGGTTTTGATTCTTGTACTCTTACTTCATATCCGATTTAAAAATTTCGGCCGAATTTAAGGTTAACTATTCCCATGATTTTTTTTATTGATTTTTTATCGCCTAATTTGTAAAATTAAAAAGATTTTTCGGGAAAAAGGCTGTATCTTCTACTTAAAATGGTTGTTTAAATTAACAATTTATTTTCATGAGCGCATACATTTTACAATTAATTTATTCTATGAAAATCTTTTTGATTTTCGAATTCCTTTGTCATTATTAACGATTTTCGTAATTTGCCTTCTTTCGAAGATTTGCTATCCGTTTTATTGAACAATACCTTTAATATAATAAAGAAAATTATTATTGCTATTAGCAATCAACAATGATTTCTTAGCCTTGTTCGATAAATTGAAGTTTTTCTTGGATAAAGCGAAATAACTGTGGATTAAACTTTATTTATTACATATTTAATTTATAATATTTTATTAAGATATTTTAGATTATACAGCTTTTCAGTAAATGTTCCAATTCTATAGAATTCAAATTTCGATAGACAATCAATCATTCAAACCCTATGAAAAAGGAATTCAAGGCAGGTTTCGGAAATCTTTTCCGATTTATTTGAAAAATTCTTGGCATTCGCATGCATCATCTCATCTATTCATCATAAATTGGTTCAATTCTCAGCATTACAACAATTAAAAACATATTTATGCATTAATAATGCATGATTTGAATTTTAATAAATTTTGTACATCAAAATATCTTGAATATTATATGTCGGATATACAGTATATGATTTCAGATTATAATTATCAATTTGAATAGTATTATGAAGAGTAGCATAATAATTTAATACAAATTTCATAACAATTACTTTTTATATCATTTACGCTGGCAGCTTGACATTCATCATGGAATATAACATAGTTAAATATAAGAAATGCCATATAATAAAACAATTTTTATCATGTCAAAATATCCTTACTAGCATTGCAAATGCAATCAATAATTTGTGCATGATATTATTTTAAAAATTTTGTAAATCTCGTATGCATATATTTACAGTATATTATGGAGGGAAATATTAAATGAATTTTCCAATATGCACCTCAATTATATGCATATTCTTGCGCAACGCATCATTTCTTCTTGGTCCATCACTTACTTATGACGACGTTAATACGTCATATTATTACCAAACATGCATGTAAAAAATAATTCTTAACAAAAATACAAATTACATCATATTTATGTAAATTTGTTATTTATTACATCATTAGTATTCTTACTATAAATTAACGAATGATATTGTTGAGAGAATTAGGATGAAAACCTCTTTATTTTATTTCTATTTCCCTCCCATCTACTCTATAATTCAAAATGAAAATAAAATCTTTTAATCGGTTTATTTTTTCATTTTAAATTTTAACTGTACATTTTAATACAAAAATAATTTCTATTAAATTGTCTTAATTTTTATAAAGAAAAGTAATTTAATAATTATAAAGGGGAAAAAATACAAAGTTAATGTTAATAAAAATAAAAAAAAAATTGAAATTAGAATATAATTTAAAGGTAGATATATATATATAAATTAAAAAGACATAAAAGTTCCTACATCACGAATCTGAACCTCAAATAAAAATTTTTTAAAAAATGATTCATATTAAATATAAACTTATAATAGAAACAAAAAACTTAGTAATAAAAAATAAACAACAACTTATTATTGTAACCTGAATGATTTATTTGAATAATCAAATAAAATAATTAATAAAAAAGAACCTAAAAAGAATAGAAACATCCAATTTTTTACGAAATCATTGAAAAAAGTGAATTGAAGGATAAAAATATTTAGGAAAGAAATATACTGTAAATCAAAATAATTGATAGACTTTTCGTTGCTTTATTTTTTTAAAAAAATATTCATATTTATTAAAGTATCTCTGTACGCGTTATATCTATTTTATTGCATTGTTCAGTTTTCAATTTCATTTTTTTACTTTTACTATCTGATTCGTTTGCTGGTCACAACGTTCAAAAAATTAATTACAGCCCTTTTTATATATCCTTTCTCGGGTTAATACAAAAGGAATAGGTAATTATTTTTTTAATCATTCTATTGTTATATTTCTTAAATCTAAAAGAAAATATACTTTAAAATAATGATAGTTCGTTTTAAACCACACAATACTGCACAATTTAAAATAAATCCAAATAAAGCTAAATAAAAAACAAGCTTTATTACAAGTTTTCATCATAAATATGATAATCTTTTTTTCTTTGAATTTTGTGTTTGCGAAACTATCTTTCATTTATTATCTCCAACATTCATTCTTTTTCTTTGGCTAAATATTTCTTCTATTGTTTTATTCAATTTTATTTGATAAATTACATTTTTAATAGAATGAATGGGTAAAGAACAACATAATTTTCAGGATTTTTTTTTGACTACGCCAGACACCCCAAAAGCTAATAAAAAGGCGGTTTGCTTAGCATGCATACGAAAACATACATTACCTATTGCTCTGACAAATGCTGAATGCTTTGTTTCAAATTACGCCGAAATCACCTAAAAAATTGCCCAAATTTGAGAGAGAGTATAATGAAGATGAAACCAGAGGATGAAAAAAAATTTTTTCTGATCAAAAAAATTTAACCAATGAAATTGACAATTCTTACTAGTTATATTTCACGCCCATGATGAAACACATTTTGAGAATTTAGCATTTCTATGATTGTTTCTAATAGCCTTGATTGTTATTTATAAAAAATAAGGAAACACAGGATCTTTTTTATTTTATCGCTTCTGCATTAAAGCTTCCTAGGCGATGAGCAATAAGTGATAGGATTCTTCCAAAATCTGCGAATCAATTAACAGAAAAATTTTCAAATTGCATGTAATGATGAAATCGGAGTAACATTAGCTTTTAATGGTTGGACGAATATTAAGTAGGAACATCTTTTTGGTATACTTCGCAAGGTGAAGTTTTAATTTGGGAAGCACATGATATTAGTAATCAACAATCAAGAACTGAAGATGTAAAATTTCTTATTCAAAGTATTATAAATGATGCTAAACAAAAAGGAATTAAAATAAATTGCTATGTATCAGATTCTGCTCGAGAGTATGCAAGCTGCAAGGCAAGTATTATTATATATTAAATACATTCATTTAAAATTTAATGTATTTATATAATTAATTAATTATTATTATAAATTTTAATTTATATAGACGACAATTAAGAATAGAATATCCAAATAAAGTTTTTATATCCTGTATGACTCATTAAATAAATTTAATAGTCAGAGATATCTTTAAATATAAAACATCAAAAAATGTTATACAAATTGTTAATTACTTTCATTCTTTACCATATTTTACAGGTCTATTAAGAAATGAGCAAATAATTTGTTATGGTCAAATATTTCTCTTGCTACTTGATTCAGGGTAAGTTTGCAAAAGTGAATATAAAAATCTGGATCGTAAGGTAACTATTTACATTTTTCAGGATACATAAGATGATCACAAAATACGTATGGCATGCAAATAAATTGGTTTAAAATAGTTGAATTAAAATTATTTAGTAATTTTAAAAATTTTGAGCATGGTGTACATAGTAAAAACAAAGAATTTAATACAAAAAAAGGTAAAATAGAAGTAAGAGTAGTTAAAGGTAACATAATTTGACAAGATTGTAATTGATATTACAAACCATTTAATATAAATTCTGAATTTATTTGATAATTCAATAGTGTTTCTAATAAAAGTTTTATATCAAAATGTAATGTTAAAATGTATTATAAGACATGATTTAATTTTCTTTATTAAAAAATAAATAATAAAAGATTCAAAGAATCAATTGATCTATTTATATTTAATTTTAAAATATAATATAAAAAATTTTTTTTTTTTTTAGTATAATAAAGATTAGGGTTGATTTGAAATGAAGATCGTATATTTATTTATTTATTATTATTTATTATTTAAAAAAGAAATGAAAAAACAATAATAATCAAATAAGTTAGATTTAATTGTTAATGATTTTAAATTTAAAATCAATTTTGTAAAATTGTAGTTCGATAATAGTTATTTGAATAAAATGAAATTTTTTTTGAATATTAATTATTTATTAATAAAGCAAAAAAAGGTAGTTAAATCAGTGTGAAATCAGGTCAAATTTGAGGTGATTAAATCATTGATAATATTCTCATAAAACTAATTAAATTAATATTGAAGTATAAGAAATAACCTAGTAATTTGATAATTTTAATAATTAATAAAGCTGAAATTGAAAATTTTAAGTAAATTTGTTAGGTTTATCAAATAATAGTATATT